CTTCAGCGTCAACTGGGCCAATCTGGAATTATTTCCATTCTGCAGTAGCAAATTTTAATCATAACCTCTGATCTTTACTGGCTGTTACAACAGCATTTCATTTTTCACCTTAGCCATCTCTGAGTGATGATACCTATTCAATGCCAATTTATACCATGCTATAGATTGTTCTGTTCAAGTGAGCAGGGGCATGCCTGTCATGAATTGAGTGGAACAAGTAGAAACAATGTTGGAGAAACTCAGTGTATCTGTCAGTATTTGTGGAGAGAGAGTCCAGTGATTCCTATTCAGATTCTGCTTTTATAGGAAGTGATTGACACTTCTCCAAAGACTGGCTGTAAAATATTTCATAATGGACAGCTTTAAAACACACCTCCAAAATGGAGACAGGATAGTGCTCATCTCATAGCACCATCAGCCTCTCCCAATCCCAAACCCCACACTCCCCCATCTCCTACCCAGTCCCTCAATCCCCCACTTCCCCACATCTCCCAACCCCAACCCCTTAGTCCCCCCTCCCCTCCCCCCCCCACATCTCCCATCCAGTCCCCCACTCCCCCCCACATCTCCCCTCCAGCCCATCAGACTTCCCTCTCTCCCTCTTGACTTTCTCTGTCATATTTCTCTGCCTTTTCCTTTATTGCCTGTTGTCTCTGCTCAGGTCTCAGAGCCTACAGCCTGTGATGACTGGATGAAGTGAAGGAAGGGCTGGTTTTTGCGGTGATCTGCTCCTGTGTTTGTCTGAAGTTGTGTTTTTTTTGGCGGAGTTAGCTTGCGTGCATTCGCGCGCTCACCCTATAGAACAATGATAAATATCCCTCTTGATCACTTGATTGATTACCTCTCTGAAAGGTCACGCGGGCTTGCAGTAATTTCCTTTCGCCCGAGGCTTCCTTTTCACTTTTACTTCATCCACGACAGCTCGACGTGTTCAAGACCCCCCACCCCCTCAGCACCCCCTCCCGTCCCCTCCGCCTCTTCCCTTTATTCTGCAATCTACAAATAAATAATAAAAAAGGGGCTTTTTTTGTTTTGGAAGCAGAGGTTGAATTTGTTCGGGTGGTTTGCTGCAGAAGCTCTGCCAGTCCTTGCCTATTATGAACTGACTGTTGTAAGAAGGTACAGTCAGGAGCAGCCGGCGTCTCCGGGGTCTCTCTCAAACCGCTTGTTCCCTCTTGGACAGGATTTGGATTTGAACTGCTGGACAAGCTATTAATTTAGCCCGAGTACCCAAGGCCCTGAACCCAATTAATTTCTAATGATTACAGCCCAAGGGGCTATCCATATCTCTCTGCTCCTTTCCATTTCTGTCATGAGGTCGGTGTATAAAAGGTGTATTTTTTTAAAATTGTTATTAAGAACAGTGAGTTATGGCATGGGGAGGGGGACCGTTTCCAGTTAGACAAATTGAGCTGTAATCTTCAGACCTGGCGTCCACATGAGGGGAGTGGGTTAATCTCCATTCGCTGGCTTTGGTCAGACACGAGTTTAATTTTTAAGCAGCTGGCTTTAAATCAGTCCTTGAATAAACAGCATATAATTGCATTACAGTGATTAAATTAATCTGCTGGTAGTTAAGAGAATCTAGATTTTTCTATTGTACCCGTTCTCCTAGAGTTCAGTAACATGAGGTAAAGTTCAGTGAACAGGGACAATAGCAGAAAGTAACTTGTCCAACAAACACGTAATTGTTTGACAATATGTGGAAGCAAAGAAAAAACGCGTTTACAGCGGAATGGTAGATTCTATTTTTTTTAATCGGGTAAAAACTTTCTCTGGCCCTTTCCCTGCTGGTGCAGTCAGTCTGGGGAACGGTCATCGATTGAAAAAAAAGCCCATTCCATGTTTGTAGGAATTTCACTGTTGTCTTATTGGCCGTGTCTGAGCTGAAGCCAACTCAGATGGAAAGGAGAGCTACTGAAAAACCAGAACAGGAGACCGGGAGGGGCGTGGGGGTGTTCAAACTTGCTCCCCAAACTTGGTCAAAGCTTACCAGGATAATCCAGTTTTAAACAAATCAAATATGAATATCATTAATTTTGAGATCTCAGCGCGCGATTCAACTTAGAAAAATTAATCGTTTATTTCAAAAGGCCGGATTTACATTGCGGCTCATTCGATGCCAAATGTAATTACAAAATACAATGAGACGAGCTTGTGGTGAGCGATTGATCACCAATAAACACCCTGGCTGGAGACTTATTATTGATCATCGATTACTTTAATAATTCCATCTATGAGATATTTCAGATGGTTTACCCAGCGCTCCCCGTCTGACACGGGACATATATACCATCCCGAATAAAATTGTCTTCCTTCAGTCTGTTTCCAGACTGGACTCATTTTGTTTTAGATTAAAAAAAAACGTCTAATTTTCTTTTAATTACATCTTTACAAAATTCATTTTTGTTTTATTTCAAACGAACCCAGTATAAGATTCTCTGATCAGACTGAGTAGAGATGTTAAAAATATTCTCAATTCAAGCCTCAGCGGTTTGGGATCCAGATCCTGAACGAAATGTCTTAGTGACTCCCGCATTTATTTTTGAGGTTTAGATTAAAGAGGGTCCTGTACTCGAGGATTTCTTTCGTAGACGGATTGTTAAAAAAAAAAGTAATTGAATTTCCCAGCGAAGTAACAAGTGAAGCTGTTTCAGATTTTCCGGGTATAGAGAATGCCAGACCATTTCTTTACGATTGGCGATAAGTGTGAATGTTAAAGATTAATAATTACAAGAAAGCATTATTTTATTCGAGGCCATTGGTTTGTTGCTGTGTGTTTGTGCCCCTGGGTGAAAGGATGTGAGAGCCACAAATCTGTTAAATCCATCTTCACTGACCCTCCCTGAACAATGGGGTGGCGAAATTCGAAGGCATTTTCACGGGAGCTTCAGTGAAGCCGGTCCGCTCGCCACGAGGGTCAGTCACACAGTGGCCTGGCAGGTCCCCTGTACGATCAGCACGATGCCACAACTCAGCCGCTAGCCGTGTTATCCTTTTACCCCCTCGGGTGGCTATCTGCTGCCGCTCCCCTTTGTCAGCCCCGTGTTTTGGGGAGAGGTTTGGGGGAGGGGGTAAGGATATTGTAACAAATTGGGGGAGGCGAATGGCAAAACAGTGCGTCGCCGCTGTAAAACAAACCTAGCGAACATGGGCTGAAGTTCCCCGCTAACGAAATCAGCGAAAATCCACGTTCCCAGCGTGATTCGCTGTAGGGCGGAAAGATTAATGTGCTGGGAACTTGGCCGTTTCAAACTAATTGAAAGTTTCGATTTCTTTCTTTCAAAATATTTATCATATTATAAATATTCTCCATATTCCCAATCTCAGCAGCGGCCACGGGCAGAGAGCTCCCGGTTACACAGCACAGTGAAACTGGGCTGACTGATGCACCGAAAGCTCAGACTCAGGGAAACTATTATTTTAAAAATAAACTTTCTAGGGGAGTGGACGGTGTGTGCGTGAGTGTGTTGTGTCTGTGTCTGCGTGTGTGTCTGTGTCTGCGTGTGTGTCAGTCTATGTATGTGTCAGTGTGCCTGTGTATCACTGTGTGTGTGTCAGTGTGTCACTCTGTGTGTATCAGTCTATGTGTCTGTGTATCAGTCTGTGTGTCTGTGTGTGTGTCAGTCTGTGTTTGTGTCTGTGTGTGTCTGTGTATCAGTCTGTGTGTTTGTGTATCAGTCTGTGTGTTTGTGTATGTGTCTCTGTGTGTGTCAGTCTGTGTTAGTGCCTGTGTGTGTGTGACAGTGTGTCACTCTGTGTGTGTTTGTGTATCAGTCTGTGTGTCTGTGTATCTGTCTGTGTATGTGTCTGTGTGTGTCAGTCTGTGTTAGTGTCTGTGTGTGACAGTGTGTCACTCTGTGTGTGTTTGTGTATCAGTCTGTGTGTCTGTGTATCAGTCTGTGTGTCTGTGTATGTGTCTGTGTGTGTGTCAGTCTGTGTTTGTGTCTGTGTGTGTGTCAGTCTGTGTATGTGTCTGTGCCTCTGTGTGTGTATTTTTAGACTGACCACTGGCTGTAGGGTGCAGACCCCTCCGTTACTGTCACCAATAAGAGACCCCCTATCAAATCAGGGTGAATGGACAGAGAGATAAGGAGAGATTAAAGCGGCCATTCATTTACAGTCGATTCAAAATCTACACAATGCGAAGATTTTGACGAAAATTCTCCGTTTCGGAAAATCAATGAATGTGCATACATTGTAACATCATGATGGATACACTGAAGATGTTTTTAACAAGTTAATGATGATGGTTGAGGTAGTCTCACTTGGAGCTGCTGTGTGCTGGAACGTGGGGTAGGAATGGCGGATCGCTCATTGATTTCAAAATATCAAATGTCCTGAATACATACACAAACACACAGACTGATACACAGACACACAGACTGACACACAGAGTGACGCACTGACACGCACAGTGATACACAGGCACACTGACACATACACACACTGACACACACAGA